AGGAGGAAATCTCGTTCTGTCATCAGGTTGAATCCCAGAAAAATAAGAATCACTTCCTTTTTTCATTTTCTTTTCTCAGCATTTTTTACTATTTAGTCAGATGCTGGTAAAAAGGAAGTGTGAAAACAGTCACGTTCAGTGAACCAGACCTCTGAGTCCTGTCAGTGTTTTAAATTAATACTAATACTCTGTCAGACTTCATGTGCACCAAGAGCTCCTGATGAGATTTAACCAATCCCTCACCAGTGAAGAATGTTTCCATTCTGATGTGGAGATGATGTTCAGAGGATGATGTGTTTAGGCGTCAGATTGAGGAAATCTTGGGACATTATGACGTGCATCCACCCTTGCATAGAGATACCTCAGTGTCAGCAAAAATTAAATGTACTGAAGCCTAAAAAGGTCCATTATGCTTGAGACTAACTCGGCTGTGGAGTGTGTTGTCTAACCACATCTATAGGCAGTGATTTTTATAAGTGCACCTTGTGGCCACTCTCAAAAGGTGGTGAGAAAAGTGTGCTTCAACAATCCCTACACAAAATCTTTTTGCAATAAATCATTCAAATGGGTACACACACCTTGAAGGCAGTCATTATGTTACACAGCTGTATGTGCAAGAAGTGACAGAGGTAGTTGTAGACAGTTTGAATAAAGTAATGAACACTGCTTTACTTTGGTGCTTTCAAGCACACGGACAACCACTGTGTAAATATAGGTTGGCTGTCTTGGAAGGTCACATGAATTATGCTGTAACTAAGGGCTCATGGCCTGTTGATGATGTGAGCTTCTTTTGGAGAGAGCAGTACAGCCTCCTGTTTTGGCTGCAGTTTGCTCGACCACCACTGCATTTGTTCAGTGAGACTAATGGACAGCAGGGTGACAGAACAAGTAGGGAGAGTGCAAGTTGTCATTTCTGTGGATGTTAACCATGCTTGAGTTGCCCCTGAACAAGACTAACTCTTCACCATGTTTAAGAGTACGGTCTTATGACAGACCCTTTATATGTAATATTTCCACATAGAAACTGACTGCATCCATACATGAGCCTGTTACGTTGAACATTAAATACTGTTTCTGAATCAGTATTTAGTCTGCAGAAGGGAAACTATTGCCTCTTGTTTTCAGCCTCTCAAATCAGGTGCTTCCATTTAACACGGGACAGTTAATCTAAAAACAGTTGAGTAATACTGCTGTGATATTTGTAATGTGCTAATGTGCTAGCATCGAGGAGCAAGCAGAATGTAAAATAAAACTGCAACATTACAAAGCTAATTATGTGCAAGAATAAAAAAAATGTGGACAGTTAAAACGGCTCTTGAAACAATGAGAGGGAATAAATACACAGGTGGAAATAAAAGTGTAGAGCTGTAACAAAAAGTGGCTGTGGCGTCAGAAGAGTCTCCCTGTTTAGAAATTAAAACCATAGTTTGTTTTTTTTTTCTCTTGGTCATTTTCTTGCACCTTAGAAGCAGTGTTAACACATTAGTGTTAATTTTGTTGTCTGAAAAAAAAAAAAAAAGACCGTTGCCAAACCAGCGAAGCACAGCCAACCCCAGAGATTTTATATCTGCCTTCTTTAGTGACTTTTAACTCGCAGGGTGGGGAAAAAACCTTTATATTAACGATACCACCAGACTGGTGAAACAGACAGCATCATTGTGCCCAGCGCAACAACGTCAGGGCCATTAAACCACCCACCATGTTCCCTGTCTGAATCCATCTGTGGTGGTCCAGTTGGAGATCCAAAGTGTGTGAGAGAGGCCGTGTCTGCAACCTCTGTTCACATGGTGGCCAACTCAATGAACCAACACTAATGGGATTACGGCCACTGTTCCACTGCTCACAACACACCCACTCCTACCCTGTAATAGAGAGAGAGGGGTCACAGTGCCTGCCTCGGACAGGGCAGAGGGAGACAGTTAATGGGACATTTCACTTTGTGGCCATATTCTGGTAAGCTGATCTCATGAGCTGTGAACTGTCAGACTGGGGTTTTTAGCTGTTGCTGGATTCACTGGGGACAAAAATTGGCAGGGAGTTTGTGATATGATACTATATTGATTCTTAAGATGCTGAATGTTACTTTTTCCAATTGTGTAATTTTCCAGTAACAAGTCACTTTAAAGTTTTAACTTGGTAGCAGTTGTCTTTTCAGTTTTGAAATCTAGAAGTTAACCTGGATGTTATTTATGCTGAAAGTTTTTTGTACGTAATTCTCAACAGTAAACTGGACAATAGACATTTTTCACATCATATGGATCATTATCATTGTTGGTGTTGATTAATTTAGTAGCTGCCTCTAAAAGCTATAGCTACTGATGATCATAGATCACAACCAAATTTTTGAAGGTGAAAGCTAAATGTAAGGAGATTTGATAAGGGATTTTTGAACCACTGTCCTACATAGAGATGTAATGGTGTGAAAATTTAACACCATGATTATACTAACCACAGTTATCAGTATTACCACAGTACTGTTATGTGTTGAAAATGTTCAAAAAGCTATTACACAAACTGAAATGCTTAATTTAAGGTTTTATTTTGACAAGCACAAAGAGTTATTGGCATCTCAAAAGATTTGAAGTGTTGCCTCCTTTCACAGCAATTTGTTTTCTGCTTGTTCTGCGGACAGGGTAACCACAAATCTCGAGCGTTGTTGCTCAGCGGAATGCAAACAAACCCACACCACTTACTGCGCTTGCGTCTGACACCTTTAGTTAACTTTGGGTGATCCTGAACAGTTTTAATCCTTCAACTGTGGACTTTTTCTTCAAAGTGCACTAATCAACTACGGTTTTTATGGTATGTAAAGTTTGAAGCGGTAATACTAACTGTCGGAAATTTTACCATGAAACCTGTAACCGTATGATCCATAGTCCTACAAAGACAAAAGACAGTAAATGCATATTTAGTCAGAATTGAGCTATAACCTTCATCTGACTTGGTGACATTTGTTTTAGTGTGTTGGTAAATATTATGCCATAGAAATGTGTTCATGATGGAGAAAGGAAAAAGTGCTCAGTGCAGTATCTGTATTGTGTTGTGTGGGTTTTATGGCAGTTATTTTTGTGTGAAATAATCACTGTAAGACGAAATTAAGGCATTACAACCTTTTATTTTCTATTTACAAGTGGGATGGGAATGTGGCACGAGTACAGAGTGGAGGTGGAGGACCACATTAGAGTCAGACATAAGTTCCAGTGTTGCACCTGTATACTATTTAAACCTTTCTGCAGAAGTTCAACAGACTGCTTTGTGCATCCTTTTGAAAAGTTTACTGTAGCACAAGGGATCTCTGGCCTGTGAACCATGGCAGGCGATCAGACGTTATGTGTCCACTCAGAGCTTCCTTTTGTTCTGAAAGTCTCTCTGGGGAAAAGGGATCAGATGTTGGTGGACACAGCTTCTTCCCCTTTCTGAGCTCCCTCTGTCACCACTGGCCTCATCGTTCTCTCAGAGACAGTAGGTGATAAGTCACTGCTGGAAAGTGAAATGCACATTTGTACAGTGTTTTTCAAGGCAGTGGCCCATGTTTAAAACCTCTAAGTGGTTTTTAAGATTAGGCCCAAAAAATCTTAGTCAAAAAGTAATACGCAGCACTTGGTATAAGCATGCTGAGGGTATCTCTAGCAAATGTTTAACAGAAGGTTATGTTTAGAGCTGTATCACAGCAGTCCGCACTGCCCCATACATACTGTGCCTTGTAATAGTGAATGGCATTCATTGTTTCCAAGCTTCAGTATATTGAAGCATGCAAGGGAAGGCTTATATATACGTCCCCTACAGTTAATTTGACAATATTAATATAGGCTATTTGTGTTATTAAAAAGGCTCAAGTCTCTTATATGGGTCCACATTTTCCTCCCTCGTCTTTTTCTATATGTCTTAGTCCCACCCACGTAAGATCTGATAAAAAAGGAGACGGGAATCAATGAAACATGTTGGTTTATTTATTTATTTATTTATATAAAGAGAAATGACATATCCTTTCCTTCAGTCCTGATTTCCAGGGTCCATATCTGTGTAAATATAAACCTAAGGATAAAAGATTTTGCTGTTGGCAGATGTACATCAGTGATGTATAATGAAGCATAAAATCAATGCCATGTTTATTTTTGTTTAACATCCTTAATAAATATCGTTGGTAAATAAAACAAAATAAATCACCCATAAGTTAGTAGATCATTCCCAAGTCTGAAAACATGGTCCCACATTTGTATGGTTTCTTCCTATAGGGTTGTGCAAACAGGTGTAATGTTATAGATCGGCCAGTAGAGGGCAGAAAGAGCTCATAGGTGGTGCTGAGCACATTGTTGAGGACTGAGTCTTGGTAGGAGCATTGATACCATATCAAATTAAGACTGAACCACTGTGCTGTGTTGCAGAAATGCTGTAATGAAGAACTGTTGCTCCGATTGGAACGTGCCAGCATTCCAACAGCCCCGACCCCTTCCCTCCATCAGCTATAAACGGTGACTGACTGAACTGATCATATCGAAGATGAGGATGAGACGAGAGATGGAGAGAATAAAAAGAAAGACAGTAAGAGAGAAGACTGGTCTCTCCCCTCTGAGGACTTCCCTCTGACTCAATTTCAGTGTGAACCCTGAACAGACGGTCTCCATTTCTGCATCAACCAACACCACAAACTGATGATGATGATGATAAAAGCCCAGCAAAGCATCTGAAAGTATATTTAAAAAGTGTCCATGAGCTGCCTCTGTGGCCCGAAAGCAGCCCCCTAATTTTCATTTTTTGAGAGTTTAACAGGAATAACAGCAATGCATAAGGAAGACAAACTCGGATTCAGTGTTTCACATCTTTTTCAATACTGCGTTTGAAAGACATGGAAGTTGACCTCTTTAGTTGTATGATTATAAATATTCTTCAAAAACGAGCATGAAAACATGGATTAGTTATTCAGTGTAGATGTTTTCAAGTGGAAAAGAGATTTTTATAGCCATACACAAATTCTCCATGCCTGTCATGTCAATGATGATAGAGCAAGGTTTATATGTATTATTATTTTTATTGTATATTTTTCTTAGTTTGCCCAGTTGTTCATGAACTTCTCTTCTGCAAATATCTCTCTGATGTGACTTAATTTTATACTCAGTCACTGGGATTTCATGGCTCCTATAATATATTCTCATGCCATTTTTTTGCATAATAATGCTTCAGAAAGTCTTTTATAGAAGAAATAAAGGATTGATTTCTATGTCTCTTGAAGCCGAAATATATTATACTAAACCAACTCTAATGATGCTTCTTGTTTTTCTGTCAGTGATGTTCCAGCTTTTATGGATTATTAAACTGCATTTTAGTACATTTTCATCATATTGGTCAGTATTTTTGTGAATTAAATGCTTATCTAAAGTGAATTTGACTTTTCTTTTTGAGAGGAGTGATATTAAAAGGTGTTTTCAAATTTTCTTTTGAGCTGAAATAGAAATTGCACAGGGATATTTGTTTAGATACTACATTGAAACTAGGCTGATCATGGATCAACAGCATAGAATACCACTCGCTATCATTGTATGACGGTATATGCAGTATTTAAGTGTACTTCAAACTTCAACCCTGCCTTAAAGGCATAAAGGCCTGGATGACCTGTAATTTCTTACTTCTAAACTGAAGTCATTGTACTTGGGCCTGAAAACTTTAGAAATCTGCTGTCTGACCATATAGTTACTCTAGATGACTTAGCCTTGGCCTCCAGTACTGCTGTGAGGAACCTTGGGTGCATTTTTGACCAGGATTTGTACTTTAAATCACATAAGCCAAATGTCTGTTGTAAAAATCAGGAGCATCCTGTCTCAAAGTGATGCTGAAAAACTGGTCCATGCATTTGTTACTTCCAGGCTGGACTGGGTTAATTCTTTACTATAAGTATGTCCCAGTAATTCCATAAAAAGGCTCCAGTTAATCCAAAAAAGATGCAGCCAGAGTACTGACAGGAACTAGCAACAGAGATCATATGTCTCTTCCATAGTCGCTTCTCTCCACTGGCTCCTTATAAAATCCAGAATAGAATTTAAAATCTTTCTCCTAACCTACAAAGCCCTTAATGACAAGGCTCCATTGTATCTTAAAGACCTCATAGAGCCTTATCATCCCAACAAAATGCCAGCCTATTGGTGGTTCCTAGAATCCACAGAAGTAGAATGGGAGGCAGAGCCTTTAGCAGTCAAGCTCCTGTCCTGTGGAACCAACTCCCAGTCTCAGTTTGGCTCCTCATGATGCTCTGAGTTTCTCTCCTCTCCTCTCTCTCCATATATCTATATGCCACCATTACGCATCACTAACTTTGTGTCTCCTCTCTCTCTCTCTCTCTCTCCCTGTAGCTTTCTGCAGGTGACCCTGATTCTGGAGCTCTACATTTCTGATGAACAGTCACCGGCCACATCAACCTGCCCAGTTTCTTGTTGTGTTGATTATGTCTTGTTGCTTTTCTTTTCTTTTCTCTCTCCTCTGTCCACTCACCCCAAATGCTTGAGGCAGAAAGCCGCCCACCAAGAGCCGGGGTCTGTTTGAGGTTAAAGGGAGTTTTTCCTCCCCACTGTTGCCAAGTGCTTGCTCAACGGGGATTTGTTGGGTTTTTCCTCTATAATAATAACAGTAGGATCTAGACCTCACTTTATAAAGTGTCCTGAGATGACTTTTGTTTCGATTTGGCGCTATACAAATACATTTGAATTTGTATGATGATCTGTTTTACATATGAGGTTTGCCTTAATTTTAAGGACCACTAGGGGTCTATACATCTATACAATAACAGAAAACAGAAATAACAAACACAAATATCATAACAGAAAATAAAAGAAGTCACTATTTTTATAATCACAATTTCCTGAAACTCAAGGTGATGTCTTCTAAAATCCAAAAGCAATTAAATTTACTACCACTAAAGCTACAAAAAAGCACCACAGACTTGTGAATGGCATTTCTGCTTGAAAAATTGCTTAGATGATTAGTTCATTGTCAAAACAGTTGATAAATCAGAACTGAGAAACCATTTTTGAATTTAAAGAGGTGCTATAATATAGTGCAATATATTGTTTCATTAATATATAATATCGCAGATATGAAAAGCATAGCTAGCTCAGGAGAAAATGACATAGTAAATTTATCTCATCTCGTGATTTAGGCCTACAAGATATAAAATATAAACCCTAAAGTGTGTTTTGTTGGATCAACAAAACATTGGCTATGAGCACCAGGGGTTCTTCAAGTTTTTTGAGGTCTTTTTTTCTAGAGGAGAACATAAAATGCTGCATCATCTAAGCTCCTTATATCTCAGAAGGGATTTGTCAAGTAGAGCAGGATGCTGGTGAGAAGGGATTAGAGTGTGTTACTCACCTCTTCTTGTTTTTGGCTTATCACCTACACTGCAGCCTTGATTTCTTAATCCCTTTAGTGGCTGAGAAGTGCGGTAACACCAAAACACTCCTGCATTCATTACCCTCCTCGTGAAATAACGCCTGCTGTCATCTTCTGGCCTGACATAACTTTGACATAATTTGAAATATGCTCCTTGGTGCCAGTGTGAGGAGTCTTTCCAGCAAACAGCATTATTTTAGACAAGTGTGCTTCCAACTTCTTTGCCACAGTTTGGTGAAGGTCCTGGTTTCAGCATGACAGAGCCCCTGTGCATAAAGTAAAGCATCTGACCAATCTTTATTTAGGAAGACTGCTCAAATCACACAAGTGATGTCCCACTTTGATGTACAGTGTGTAGCACGCGTCTTCTAAACTCTACCACCTTATTTTTGGTGAAAAATAAAGTACGTCTGTTGTTTCCTAGGTAAAACTCTCTATCAGCACTTTCCTTCTACTGAGGAGCTGAATTGCATCTTCTAAAGTTTGAGATCTTTAATGTGCATTAGCAGCATAAAACACAACAACAAACTGAGGCGAATGAATTAATAAAGAGAGACTCCAAGCAACAGCAAGCTTTCATCTGCTCACCATATTATACAAGATTATTTATTGCTTCAGTAATGTCATCCCTCCATCTCCTGCCCCATTAATCACACACACACCCTTTCTCTCCTTCCCCTCGCCAGTTCAATTAACAGATTAAAGCTTGTATTGAATAGATCGAAGGCCTGTGCCCGGGATATCGTCTGTATCTAATGCATTTTCTAGAGGGGGAGTGAACATGAGCTTCACTGTCTGGGGAATATTGACAGTTTGGAGTGCAAGGTTCCGTTTTCTCTCTAAGGGTTCATCATCTGCCATTTCCTGTCTGTAATTTATTTATTCTGATGACGTCCACTGCTGCTGTATTGGTGCTCAGATTATTCTCTAATACTCCACGTTTTTATTTCCCTTTTGCTAAATTACTTCTTCAGAGTGTATACATGTTTCACAATAAGACACGTGTATGAGGCTGCACAGCTTTTCATAAAGGAAAGTGTATTATATATTTTCCTAACTGACTCAGTTTGATGAGCATTTATTTCAAAATGGTGCTATTAATTTGCTGTAGGTTTGTTCTGGATTACATTTCTTTAATTAAATGTACAATACATTCCATATATGTGTTAACACAGATTGTCTCTTCTAATATAAACTTATTTTCATAACCTTTAAGTGCTGTTGAATGTACAATTTTTCTATTAATTCCAATGTAGCCTGCCGGCCTGTGATTGCAGGGTTTTCCCCAGTGGTAGTTGCTTGTTTGCATAAGGCGTAAGAGGCAGTTCACAGCAAATTCCACCTCTATTTACACAGGTTGCCATGCAAAACAGTATCTGTCTTTGTTTACACACACAAATAGTTGCACAGGCTTGTGACTTGACTGTTTAGACAGCAGGGTGACTCTTAAGTTCTGACAGCCTGTGCACTTTTAGTCCACTCATTACCTCAGTGTATTAGGTTCTATCACTAATGACCAGTGTTGATGTTATAACTGCTCAGTCTGTGTATCGTAACATTGGATGGACTGAACTGCAGAAAGAACTGCAAACTGGATTTAGATTCTGTGATTCCCATTGGAGCTTTTAAAGCCTTAATTTGATATCTATCTATGACTAGTGATGTTTTTTGTTTTTGTTGTTTCCTAATTGTTGCTTGTCTGGCTTTGTTGTTTTTGCTGTGTGATTTGGTAATTATGAATGGTTCATATTTTTACGTCCTTCTTGAAAAACAGACCTTGACTGCAATTGGACCAGCTAATTAATTAAAAGAAATTATAATTACTTGTATGTTTATAGTAATCTACTGTGTAAATTTCAATAACTTGTTCTACCCATTGAAATGCGGCACCCTTCTAGCAGTCATTTAGATTTATGAAATACACAAAACATTTCACCTGTCTTTGTCCAGTAAGGCCTCCTGATTCATGGCCCGTACAGTTTGCGATGACAACAGAACACTGAAAAATCGATAGTAATGTATTTAAGTACCAAAGTGGCAGCCGCTCTTCAGGGACCTTCCTGCGCTCCTTGGCTTGATTTCCACTCCATTGCTCTTTAGTGATAGGTCTCAGCAACAGTGTGTCAGATGGGAGAGTGACCTAATGCAACAAAAAGCAATGACAAATGCTTCACATCATCACCTTGAAGACTTAAACAGGTTATATTCGATGTCTGTTTCAACATTTTCCCTGAAACTGTTGGTCATCACAAAAATGTTAATATTTATAATATAAACTTAGCCTTTTGTTTAAAAAAATAGCTCAATTTTGAATAAAGCCTTCAACATTTCTGACTGTTTACCATGTATATTCTAAGAAATGAGGGGATATTATTCACAAAAGCACAAAAAGATATTAACACAAAAGCATTAGAATAGACCAAAAGATGAAATTACAGCACCAGACAGGACAGAACTAATCACAAATGTTTGTGGCCATGACTGCTGGCTCTACCCATAACAAGACTAAATGAGCCCACAGCCGTGCTACCATATCTCTGAGTCTACGTACAGTTTGAGTTAAATACTAATGCTAATAACAGCACGCTAACATGTGCTAGATTAAACGGTTCAAGAATCCCAAAATATTTACAGTCAATCCTGAGGGAGGCGTGAATGTCTGTACCAAATAGATAAGACGTTTCACTCAAAACCACAAACGTGAGCCTCATGGTGGCACTAGAGGAAAAGTCAAAGAACGACCAAAGTCATTAGGGTTCAACCTGTGGGACCATGTCTGGACCAAATTCAGTGCCAAGTGTATTACATCTGGATATACAGTATATAATTGCTTAGGAAAAAATGTTGACCTGATGGTTGTGCTGTATGTAAAGCCAGGAGATCTACCAGGTCACGAGGATTCATCCACTCAGCACAATCTACAGCAGGGGGTTTTCAACCAATGGTCCATGGCC